ATAAATAAAATAAAATAAAATAAAATAAAATAAAATAAAATAAAATAAAATAAAATAAAATAAAATAAAATAAAATAAAATAAAATAAAATAAATTGAAATATAACAAATAAACAAGGCGGAGCGAATCGGAATAAAGCAGGGTGAAGCGGGAAGTATTCAAGAAGTGGGGAGGTAAGGTAAAGAGAACGAGGCAGAATGTAGCAGGTGTAAAGTGAAGAGAGATGAAACAAGTAGGAAATGAAGAAGGGCAAGATTCGATAATGAAGATGGAGTGAAGCAACGAAGAAAAATAAGTAAGGGTAGCGAAAGAAAGTGATCAAGGGGAGTGAAAGTAAGGTGATGAAGATGAAAGAAAGCAAGTTAAACCAACGGAAGACCAATTAAAGCGTATAAAAAGAAGCGAAAAGTGAATGAAACGGGTTTCTGAGCGAATAAAGAAAATGTAATTGAAAGCAAATAAAGAAATGCGAAKASAAGATGGTACAAAGTCATCTAAACGAACATAAATGAATTAAAAGCGAATAAAGAGAAGCGGAAAGGAACGAAAAAGGTAAAAAAAAAAAAACAATAAATAAATAATAATATGTGTTATATGAATACATTTTTTTAAATCTATAAAACACAAGAATTTTGATTTCTTTTTATTTTTCTATAAATGAATATTTTTCAATATAAAATTACATTATTAATTTCTCTCTCAATAAGTCCGTGCCCTGGAATACATTTCTAAATTAACTTATTAAAATATCCTTGAGAAATTCCACTTTTAAGTGGAGTTTGTAGAGAATGAAGTTACTTGCTAATTACAAAAACACTTCGCATATTTAAATTCCCGATTCGATGCACAAACAGTTCGCATTTGCTGTGCCACAGTGCAAAACTCTATATATGGCATGGAAGAGGCTTAGAAAGAACTCGGCTTAAGCCGGTGCTCCAGGAAGACACTGGCCATGTTTTGGATGTATGAAATAAAAATAAGCATAAGCTTTTCGACCACGCTACCGTTATGAGCAAACTGCAATATTTCCGCACAGCTTATGTACCACAGACACACACACGCGCGCACACACACGCAGCTATGGACTAAATCCCAGCAGCAAACCAGGAGCAACAAAAACAATAACAACAGAAACAGCAACAACAACAACATCTGGCAACGCTTAGCCACTGACATTTGTATGTGTGGTTATCCCTGGCAGGACTCTAGGACGCGCTGGCTAGCCACCTCATTGGCAACAGGGGCGTGGCGGGGTGCTGGGGGCACGGTGGTTGTGCGGAAGGAAACAGTTAATACTTCTGTCTGTTATGCGCTTACTTCCTGTCTCCATTAAAAGTCATTCTTTTGGATAATCCTTTTGGCAACATTATGGCAAGTATTAAAAAGTTTTTTTTTTCCAACTCCTGCTGCTGTTGCTGCTGCTGCTGCTTCGCCCTTTGCTCTTGCTACCTAGCGCAAACTTTTTGCAGGATTCTTCCGCAGTTGCGAACTGGATTTGGACTTGAATTTGGATTTGTTCTCAGTCTGCCCGACTGTTCCGTCCAACTATGTTTTCTGTCTGACTGCCAGTTTATTTCATATGTGACCATGTTGTTGTTACTGCTGCTGTTGCTGCTATTGTTGTTGTTGTTGTTGCTTTGACTGCGGCTGCCACTGCATGATAACCATAAATATTGTGTGTAATAGAAAATGTTTTGTAAGTGCTTTGCTCTGCCATTTTTTACGCGCATTTTTCTCGTTTATTTCGCTCTCAATTTTTCTAGCTTGGCCTGCCGCACCTCAGTTGTAGTTGCCTGTCCCATTTCATTTGCAAAACAAGCCAAATGGGAACATTGCTAAAAGGAAGACATTTTAATGCGCTACACAAATGTTTTTTCGTGAGTAGTAAAAACGGCATTCTACACTATGAAACAAAAATATAGTTTACCTTAGAAAAACAAAAATATAGTTTACCTTAGAAAAATATTGAGCAAATTAGTTTTAGTTCACTCTTTAGTTAGCGATAGTCTTGTTTGTTAAGAGTGTGACTTTATCGATTTCGTATAAAAAGGAAACAAATTAAAATAGCTCTATATAATCCATGCTTACAATGAATGTGTATTAATAGAGCTGGGCAGATATAAAAAACACAGCTAAGTCAAGCACATCAATTCAGTTTACTATAAAAATTATTTAGTGTATGTATATGCACATAATCATAGTATTAAACATATGTTATCATATATATTTTTTTAAAATTTTTAAAAAATTTAGCAATTTGCTACAATGTGAACTGCAAGCGAATTTCATTAAATATGTTTGACATTTTTCGTTTCATATATATATATAAAACATGCATAGCCATTTAAATTAGCTCAGCTAGCTTCAAGTTTTTCGCCTTATAATAAAATCAATTTTATTTCAATAAAAACGTTAACTCTTTTGTCAACAAATCGTAGAAAAAATAGCCCCAGGCCAAGCGCCTGACAAAAAGCACAACTATTAGCTCCCCAGGGAGCTGGGCAGCTGGAGCAGATGTCGGGTGTTGAACGTGTCAATGGCAGGACTATTGTCCTTAATGGAGGGGCGCACCTCAATCACACGCAGGCGAACGAGTAACAGTAGTGGCAGTGTGTGTATGTCGGTGTGTGTGTGTGCGCGTGAATTTGGGTTGTGGCGGTGGCCCATTGATTGCGATTGAAAAGTGATGAGGTGTCAATTTTTCATGGAATAAAACCCAATAAGGGATGTCAGGCTAGTGAAAATTGATAGAGGTGTTAGAGGGGTGTGGGGGGCGTGGCAGGGAAATGACGACAAGCGCTGCCAACGCCATAAATTTGCATAGAAAACACATTCACTAAAAACACACGCACATTAACATATTTTAATGGTGTGCGAGTGTGTGTTGTATGTGTGAGTGTGTGTGTGTAACGCGAAAAAAAAAGCAACAATATGGCCGCTGGTGTCATTTTAGCCTTTTGCCCTGTTTGCCTTCAGCATTTTATTGATGCCAAACACGTTTCATGCCAGAGTCAACCTTTTTTCGAGCTGCAGCCGAAATTTGAATAATTTGTCGACAAAGGCCAACAACAGGTAGGCGGGCGTGGCAGGCTGGTAGGCAGACTAACAGCCAGCAGCTAAGGATAATGCAAAAAGACCGTTTATATTCATTTCCATAGACCAGATATAAGCCGACAACTGAAACATGGCTACTGGGCGCGTAAGGCAGGGGAGGGCAGGGCGCTGACTGAGGCGTGGTATTTGGACTAAAAACACAAACTGTGTTCGGCTTGATTATGATAAATGCTGTCGACGATTGAAGGAATCAACTGCAAAAAGGTGCGAAATGTTGCGGCTTTTAGGTGTTACCCTTGATGAATTATTGTTTCTGTATAATTTGTAAATATTGAATGCTAAATAGAATATCTTAATTTTTGAATACATGCCGAGGACCTCTGTAGCTCTAACTTCTTATTTACTATTTGATAGATACAGCATATTTGGCAGTTAATTCTCGAAATTCTTCGCTTTGGAATACCCGAAAATAATATAAAATGATTTCTATTTTTTCTTTATTTTAGATTTTGGGAAACTTTTTGTCATAAATTTTTGGAAATCATATTTTATTAAAGGCACTGTTGATTGAATTTTATACAAAATATTGAAGCATTATGCGAATATTATTTGCTATAAAAGATTATTGAATTATTGTAAAAAAGAAGTAGGATAAAGACTATAGAAGTCAGGGAAAATTTTTATAGAATAATTAAAAAAAAAAAAAAAAAAAACCGTAGCTCTTAACGTAGTTCATAGAAAAGACATTATTAAATATTATAAATTCAATTCATTTGTAAATTAGTCAAAAATAATTTCAATTTATTGATCAGCTGTTTCAGTAACAGCTGGAACAGCTGCTGAAAAGCTTTTTCCATAAAAAAAAGAAAACGCACACAACTTTTGACATTTTCTAAATGATTTTTCCGCTGTGATCGCTGAAGTGAAATGCTCGTGAAAAAGCTGCTCAGTTTTCGACTCACTTCCAAAGCGCACACACAGCGTAGTACACCAAATATTTGTGTGCCCCAGAATTCGTTCAAATATTTGTTTTGCTGCAATGTGCTGAAAATTCCAAAAAAGAGGCGAAAAATGTGGCATGGAATTATTGTGCTGTGCTGCATGTGGAGTGCATTTTTGTTGCACGAAACTCTGCAACAAGAAATCAACATTGGTGAGGCAACTATATAGATACAGTAATGCATATATACATAGATATTTAGTCACATGCTATGTATTCCCCCCTTGCAGGCGCCTTTTTCTATGACAATGAACTGGAGCTGGAAAAGGAATTTCTGGCTGTGATAAATACCATTAACGGACCTGAAGCGGAACAAACTTTAAGATTTAATCCGTTGATAAAACGCCTGAAGCCGGAAGATAGCAGCGTTATTCTACAGGAATACGGTGCGTATTTTCAGTACCCATTCCCCAATAAATATAAGAAAAAGCTCATAAAACATAAAAATACCAAAAAAATTGACTTCGCTTTCAGCATGCGATCTCATAGATAATGGTGTCGCAGCTATTTTCGGACCAAGTTCACAGTCGGCCAGCGGTGAGTATCGAAGGGTGGGGTAAACGATCCATTGGCGTTCCATGTGTATACAGACTTTGTATAGAACGTGCGAGCAAAATAAAAGAAATGAAAAGAGAACAGTTCGGCAAAAGCTCCCAAGCGAATGATAAGCAAAGTAAAATGCCAAATATATTTGTTTGTCAATAAAGAAAGAAAGCTTTCACGAGAAATGGAGGCATGGTGATTCGAAAGTTTCTAAGGGAACTCAGCTATCAGTAAAGGAATATTCAGGAATCTGAATATTTTTATTTATGGATATGGATAAAATATACCTGAGAACCAATTTATTTGAAGTACTATAATACAATTGAAAGTCTATAGTCGGCCATGTTCTTCATAATCATTTTTTTCCTATCCAGTATACAATGGTAATTGTGAAAAAAAAAAACAAAAAAAACAAAAAATGGTATGTAAAGTCTCAGCTATTAGCACATCGTAAAAGTATAGGAATAATATATAAATATTATTGAAATATGTATATATCGTATATTATATTAAATAGAACGATTTATCTTCAATTAGTTGAAATATTACGATCAGTTTTAGATACCAGACCCTTTTATTCAGTCAGCCCTTCTATGCAACCCCACAACATCTTCCCATCCACAATCTTTCAGATATCGTTGCCTTAGTTGCGAACAATTCTGGCATACCGCACATAGAGTTCGATGTGGCCGATGAGGAGTATATGGAGGAGAAGCCCAACCATCAGATGACCCTCAATATGTATCCCTCTCTACTGATACTCTCGAAGGCCTACGCGGATATAATTCACAATTTCGGCTGGCGCAAATTCACAATAGTCTATGATGCAGATGATCGTAAGTAGCCCCCCATTAGCTCACTCGCTCTCCACTCACTCAACCATTGCTCTGTTAGCTAGGGCTGCTGCTCGATTGCAAGATCTGCTGCAGCTGCGCGAGGTGCACAGCGATGTGGTGCGCGTCCGCAAGTTTCAGAGGGGCGACGACTTTCGTGTCATGTGGAAGAGCATAAAAGGAGAGCGCCGTGTAGTGCTCGACTGTGTGCCCGATATGCTCGTGGAGCTGCTTAACTCTTCATCAGAATTCGGACTGACGGGACAGTTTAATGTAAGTGAGCGTAGAGTTGTGAATACCCTGTATTTTAAGAGGGAGGTATAGTTTGTTGGTAATGGTTGTTGGAGTAAAGCCTTAGCTGATTCATTTGCCAGTGGTCTTTGAAAATTGTTGTTTATAGATTTTACAATATTAATAACTTATTGAATTTCTTTAAATTCGATAATTATCGTTTCGGTTTCAAATTCTTTAGAATGATGTTTCACCTTAAGTTTGTCGAATATGGCGATTTTGTTAAACTTGTCATAGCTTATGTGCATGCCATGTCATCTGTATATCGATAAAACCGATACTAATCGATATGCGATTTTCTCTAGTAATATTATCAGTTTTATTTCTTGTCATCTATAGATCTTTTATATTCCTCTAAGTATAGAGTTGCATAGACAACTCAAATAATTTAAAAGTTGTCCCATGTTTAAAGCTTGAAATATCGATATATGAGTTTTAAGAAGTATGATTTATTATTTACCATGTATATAGTAAGATTATTTGATGAATATTGTATTTATTCGGTACTTTGATTTTTTTATAGATTTATTATTGATGAACTATGATTTATAATTTAGCATGTCTATAGTATGAGTAATAAACGATTTTTTTCATTCACTATATAATTTCTCATAAATATAATACATATTAAATTAAAAATATATATTTATATAATTTATTGTACAAAATCTTCATTCTCAGCACATTTTTCTTACCAATCTGGAGACGTACAACGATCACTTAGAGGAGCTAACTGCAGACAATGAGACATTTGCTGTGAATATAACAGCAGCTCGCATGCTGCTCAATCCAGCGCCGCCTCCGGTAAGTCAGATGTCTATCTACATAATTCTCTCTCAGTCAATTAACAATATCTACATATGTAATCCTTACAGCACGTTCAGCTGTATGGCTATGTGACGCAACGGGATAATATTGTCTCGGAGAACAATGAGCCACCGCGCACTATACTGCACGACCTGCTCTACGATGGACTTCAGCTGTTTGTGCAGGCCTGGCGAAATGCTTCCTACTTCTATCCGGATCGCATGATGGTGCCGCGCATGAATTGTGAGTCGGCCGCAGCAGGCGGCCGCGTTTGGCAGATGGGTCGCTATTTGACGCGCCTAATGAAGGGGGTAAGTGGCCAAGGGATGTGCGAGGATTCTGTTCCTGATTGCATTAACACATTGAATCCGTGCGGCGCAGACTTCCGGCGTGGGCAACACAAACTTTCGCACCAGCCATTTACAATTTGACGAGGATGGACAGCGGATTAACTTCAATATTGAAATTTATGATCCCACCGACAACATAGGTGTGGCCGTCTGGGATACGAGGGGCCAAATCACACTTCTCGACGTCGAGATGAAGGTGCAGAAGAAAATTGTTTATCGAGTTGCCACACGCATCGGTCCACCCTATTTCAGTCGCAACGAAACGGCCATGGAGCTAAATCTAACGGGCAACGCCATCTATCAGGGCTATGCGGTGGACCTTATCGATGCCATTGCCAAAGAGGTGGGCTTCGAGTATGTCTTTGTGCCGGTTGCTGATCAGCAGTACGGCAAGCAGGACAAGGACACCAAACAATGGAACGGAATCATTGGCGAAATTATCAATAATGTGAGTAGAGTGGGAAAAAATGAGATAGATGAGGAATGATGCGGAATCAGAAGTGATTCATAACTATAATAAATATTTACATTCCGAATATAATATAGTAACTGATTCCGAAATCTTTTTTTTAGCACAAATTTGAAATTAGAAAATCTTTTAAACATATTGAATATCTTATTTTGAGTATGCATTCCTGTTAAGCAAATGCATATATGAGTAAACTAAGGCTCCCATTCCAATTGCTTTTCGCTTCACAGGACGCCCACATGGGCATCTGCGACCTGACCATTACTCAAGCACGTCGCACTGCGGTGGATTTTACGGTGCCGTTTATGCAGCTGGGCGTCAGCATTTTGGCCTACAAGAGTCCGCCCAAGGAGAAGGAGCTGCACGCCTTCTTAGAGCCCTTCGGCGGCTCGGTCTGGGTGTGGATTCTCATCTCCGTGTTTGCCATGTCATTTCTGAAGGTGATCATAGCGCGGTAAGCCGAGATAGTTTAAGGTAGAGCTGGGAAACTATCGAGAATAGTGATGATGATTTTAATGCAAATATGCGATTCAATCGATATTATCGTTTTTTAAACTTCTCTCCTTAGAAACTTTAATATTTTGCAATACAAGTGATCATTCTAATGCCCATGTCTAGCGATAGGATCAAGACAACATAGTAGAAAAGTAAAAATTTGATAGTTTCCCAACTCTTAAGGAACTAGAGTAGCCATCATCATCTGATATGACTTTCTTTTAGCATTGCCAAGGCGGAATGGGAGAATCCGCATCCTTGCAATCGTGATCCGGATACGCTGGAGAATCAGTGGCACCTGCACAACACCTTCTGGCTGACCGTCGCGTCGATCATGACGGCTGGCTGCGATATCCTGCCGCGCAGTCCGCAGGTGCGTCTCTTCGAGGCCACCTGGTGGATCTTTGCCATCATTATAGCCAACTCGTATACGGCCAATCTGGCTGCCTTTTTGACCAGCTCCAAGATGGAGGGCAGCATAACGGACCTCAAGAGTCTCAGCTCCCAGAAGGCTGTCAAATTTGGCACCATTTACGGTGGCAGCACCTACAATCTGCTAGCGGAGTCCAATGAAACGGTTTATCGCCTGGCCTTCAATCTGATGAACAACGACGACCCCTCGGCCTACACCAAGGATAACGATGAGGGCGTCGAGCGCGTACTGACCAGCATGGGTGACTACATGTTCCTAATGGAGACAACTACGCTGGAGTACAATCGCGAACAGCATTGCGATCTGCGCTCCGTGGGCGAGAAATTCGGCGAGAAACATTACGCGATTGCCGTGCCCTTCGGGGCGGAATATCGATCCAATTTGAGCGTGGCAATCTTGCGTTTGAGCGAACAGGGCGAGCTTTACAATCTGAAGCAAAAATGGTGGAAGAACTCGAATTTCACGTGCATGGAGGAACCCGATCCGGATGCCACACCCGACATGAACTTCGAGGAGCTGCGCGGCATTTTCTACACTCTCTACGTGGGCATTCTGATTGCCTTCATCATTGGCATCATCGAATTTGCGGTCTATGTGGGGCAGGTGGCGCTCGATGAACGCGTGAGTTGCTTTTACAGATTATACATTATTATTTTATACAATATTATATGAGTAACGATGGAGTTAGGATTTTAGTGGATAGTAGATTGGACTTCGTCAAGTTTTTTATTATTATAGCTTCATTTATATATTTTAATATAACAGTTTTTTAATATCTCTTGTACCTATTACCAGCTCACCTATAAGCAAGCTCTCATCAAGGAACTGCGCTTCGTGCTCTGCGTGTGGAACAACAAGAAGCCCATTGTGAGTGGCACGCCCTCGCCCAGCTTGGCCACCTCCACGCCACGTCCATCGATGCAGAAGTCGTTGGAGCCCACACCGAAGTCGTCGCGTCGCATTGTCCTGGGCCGTTCGTCGGAGGAGATGCGCGAGCTGCCGCTGCCCTCGCAGGGGGGAAGCCATAGCCGTAGCCGTAGCCGGGAGCAGGAGGCGCGCGTCTGATGTTTGTCCAGTTGTTAACTGTTATTTTGAAGTGCTCTTCAGTTATTTGCAATAAAGGCCACGCCCACCGCATTTTCAGCGCGTAATCAATTTGCAGCTTCTTTAAGCTTGAAATTACTTGGCAGCCGCCGCGGGCCAAAAGTACGAAAGGGTGGCAACGGGCGTTCGGAGATTGTTGCAACACGAGCCGCATGCCGCTGCGCTGTGGAACTGGAACTTGCCACACGGCTCGCTGGGCAGCCTGCAAGCCCATTAATGTGGCCCCCGCAGAGCAGCAGCTGCGCCCCACTCGCCTTTTCCGTGTCATCTTCGCTGCCCCCTTTGCCGCAGCAAAAGCTGCCTGAGTCTCTCAATTGCGTTATTGGAGCTTATTGACATTTTATATCCCCCAAACTGACGAACGTCATCTTTGTCGCCTCAAGGGCCGCTCCATCCACCTCCATATCTGCTCGCTTCACTGTGCATTCCTTGCAGCTCAGCCAGACGTATTAATGCTCCACGGCAAGTTATGCTGGAAGCTATGAAAGAGGCTAGAGCGCTTCGAATACTTTCCAAATTTCTATAGAAAGTATTTCACTAGCTAAATGTAGTTTTTGGCTGAATTCGAAACTTCAACTTAATCAAGTCAGAAGAAAAAAA